TTCAAAACATGGGATGGTGCCCAACTGCAGAACTGGGCACTGGGAATTGTCCTGAGGACACCCGCACCCACCACAACCAGGGGACAGTGATGGCTAGAGCACAGCATAGGTGACAACCCTGGTGTGGCCCTATGTCAGGATGAGAGGGGAATCAAACCAACAAGAGGAATTGAAAGAAAAAAGGATTCAAAAATGTATGTGGGAATTTGGTTTTAAGTCTGATTTCTGTTTAAAAAACTTTTTTTTTTTTTTTACGCCTAGATAACCTGAAATTATGAGATATAAGACATAAGTCATAGATGCTGGAGTCTGACCAATGTCTTCTTTTCTGGATGGTGGTGGGATATTCCATTAGAAGTCCTGCTATATCCAGACTCTATATAAGACACTGCCAAACAAAATGTTACACTGAAGAAAAACTGTGATACCAAAATAGTCAGCCAAGGTGGCTGTAGCTTTAGCCTCCATACCACCCATTATCAGCATCCTTAGCTGATACATTGCAAATCAAGCTGTTCAGCAGGCACTGCATTCCTTTAGGACTCACATTAACATTATTATAATCCATGCATGAAGAGTTGGCTGTGTATACACTCTGGTTCCTTGAAAACAGAGCTGCAACGAAGGTCAATATATTCCCAGCTTTTATATCAGAAAAGAAAATTATGCTGAGGAAAATTAAAACTGAAGCACATCGACAACCTTCCCGCATGGAATTGGAAATGACTGCAGAGATAGGCGGGCTAGTGTTTCACAGGAGTTCTGTGTTTTAAGTAAATAAATACATAACTAGGAACAGCCACGGAGGTTAAAGGACATCTGTAAAGAGAAAGCAATGTTTCCCAAACTCTTTGTTAAGTTTATTTAGTAGAGGGACCAGAGAAAGTCTCAAATTGAGTTGTAAGGTGCTAACAGTCCGACTAGATAAATGTTAGCTTCCCCATTCTCTGTGCCAGAAGAAACTGTAACATGGCTGAGAACTGACACAAAATTCTTCTATCCAAGAAAAACAAGTTATTCTGCACAAAAAAATTAGGGTATAGACTATTACATCTCAGTGAAACATTAATGTATTATTATTCTTTTTCAGACTGCAGCCTTCAGGACAAAATAGTGTTATGTATTTATATTAACCCTCCCATGCATAAATTTATTTTTTAAATTGTTAAGTGGAAATCATCAACCTGTTTTCGTGATTTTAAAATTATTTTTATTCACTGTTGCTTATAATAACTTTAGAGAAACTTGAAGCTGAAATTGGCTTCCTCTCTACATTTATTTTCATATATCAGACGTGTAAAGATTTATCAACACAGGCCATTTTCATGAATTCTAAGCCACTGGAATTTCTGCTTTGTCCAGACCTGAATTAAATGAGTTTCACAGGTATAATGACTTCTGGAACAAGCCTTACGGCAATATTTTTGCAAGCAAAACGGACATAATTCAACAAGTTCAGCATTAATTGCCATTAAGAGCAACCTGTTGGGTGAGCACATTGCAATTAATTTAATGATGTGCATCAGGTAATGCCCCAGCACAGCAGCATTTTGAACTGCTCAGTTGCCCTTTTCCTACAGAGCTGATTCCTGGCCGTGCTCAGACTAAGGAATGTTAGGAGGGCAAAGCCAGACCGTCTCACCTGTATGTTGTTGCTGATATTTAAAAGGAAAGTTGTTTCTCCAACTACATCTGGTCAAATCATTCTGTCAGGTACAACCAAAACCTCCAGGAAGTAATCCCTCACATAGCACAGGGCTTCCTGACTAAGGTTACCAGTGTAACACAACCTAATATGGCACAGCTATGTTTGAAAAGTGGCGGATTCAAAGCATCATGTCCACCCACAAGGACACAATGGAAATAGGCAAATGAAAGTAAATAGAAATTAAGGTCATTGTTTCCTTTTCTCTTAAAGATAAGATTTCACATAGCAATGCCCTCTGGGAAATGATCTGTTTTGGACCAAATTAGTCCCAGTGGTAATGTTGATTTTTAACAACTGAGATACACTAGGAATACGTATAATCCCACTGTTCTTTGTTATTCTCATTAATAAGCCACATTATGTCACTCAGACTGCATGCAAAAATATCATTACCATTATTTAATTACTTTGTTTTTGTAAAAAAAATCTAACAGATCTGTTGTGTATAGCCAGTAAATGTGGCCAAATCAAAGTTGTGCACTCCAACCCAAATATTTTTTACGTTGTTTCTGCACATCTAATTGCATGTAATTTATAGTTGTGTACAGAATTTTTATGATAAAGCTTCATTAATCACAAATTCATCAGCGCAACAAAAATATATCCGAGTGAACATGGTGTAATATTGCAAACACAAGACATGCTTCAGGATGGAAAGAGGCCAGGATCCCCATCTTCATCTATCCCCTAATGTTACAGAAATGATTAAGTCATCATATCAGTGGTTTTCACATGGAAATATAAACACCACTGAGATTCCATACAGTATAAATGACAATGACTCTAGAATGCTTGGAATCACTCAGAAACCCTGTAAGAGCAGAGTATGCAGTAAGCTGCTCACAGTCAGGCAGTGCCAGCAGTGGGGAGCAGCAGCCATGAGGCATTCCACGCCACCAGGCTCCCGGTGCATCACCACCTCCCCTCTGCCCTCATACATACTTCAGGTCTCATTGTTCCCTCCACCTCCTAAAGTGGATTTTGTTACACTTTATTCATTCTGATTAGCTAGCTTTGAAGGGCCAGCGTGCATGTGCACAGGCCCTGGGAGAACATGGTCTTAAGCTTCTTCGGGCTGCTCAAGTGCAAGTACTGCACTTGGCTAAAATGAATCTGTCATGCAGGGAAGTGTGGACACTGCCTTATTGCAGTAGGGTCACTCCTAACCTATATCAGCATCCAGAGGAGAAAAAACATTGTTGCTTTGGTGTTTCTGCACCTGAACCAAAGCCCAGCTCTATTCTGATTTAATCACAGCCTGTGCATCAGCAGCTCATCCTCAGCTCAGCGTCTTAATAGCTTCAATGTCTCAAGAAGACAATTCATAGACAATAGGTGGCTGTGAAATGCAGCCAAGCGAGACATTCCTCTGATTTCAAGGCAGAATTACACTCCGTATTGATGGCACTACTGTCTCATATATCATATTTACATTCTGGTTTTTAATGACTTGCAGCTAGGAATCAGAGAAACTGATCCGTAGGTGGTCTAAATTATATCCTATGTGCATGCTGCATGCTGAGAAGAATCTGCTGATCTAACAGATGATAAAAGACAAAGTAATCACCCACTGTAAGTCCAAATCTTTACCCTGGCAAATGTTACACTGATTTTTTCACAGAGTTACGCCTGCGTAATGGATGTTGGATTTCTCCAGTTTTGACCACACCAGTGATTAATGGTCCAGCATCAGGACTTCATCATTCTGGTTCATTTTAGTATTCAAAAATCATTCTTATTATAGTAACAATCAAAAAAATGAGAAGGCTCTAGTCTATTTAACTTCACATCTCTCCGTGATTAAGATATTTTCTCCACTTAACAGAGAGCTAGTATATCGTTTTTTATACATTCTGTTACCTAAAATTCTGTATAGATGTCTCATGGGATTTTCAGGAGTTCCTTTCTCACTAAAATCAATGAGAATTAAGTTCTTAATGTCTTTAATGAGTCATACCAAAGTGACAGATGAGAAAAATCACATTAGACAGCTGTGACAAGCAGATTTACTCTGCCACCCATAAGCCAAACCACTACTTCAATCCCTGCACTTGACTTCTGCTAAGACCGTCATCTTTCTTTCACTTCATTTCATGTTGTTTAACAAAGGCAGTTCTAAGAGCTGACCTGGTCTTTCAATCTGCACATAACCCAGCAGTGATGGTCTTAATCCTGTCCAAGATGGACTTAATGACCTGAAATGATTTAACTCAAATAAAAGGTATAAGCTGGAAACTTTATTAGCTACCACTTTCCATTTTTGTTTTCAATTTCATACATAGGAATAGAAATGC